GTCAGGTTAATCAGTCGTGTTAATGACTTCTTCCGTATCCTCTTCTCGCTCCAATATCGCCAACAGGGCGCTTACTGACTTCTCGCCTGAGATAGTTGCGGAACTGACTAGAGCTAATTAGCTAACAGTAGACGTGTTTCATTATAGACTTAGGCCATACAAATTACTCTGGATCTATGACCTCAAGTTAGGCTCCCACCCAGCTTGAGAATCCTGACTTTGTCGGCCTATTCAGTGAGGTGGGAGTATACGTGCCATCAAAGGCTCGAGACAGACTATGAAAAATAACGCCTCAGGTAGCCTGAAATACCTGAACTAAGGGGATAGGAAATGGATCCTATGGGGCAATAGGGAAACTCTAATAGGACCTATTCGAAGATGATTACGTACTAATATGGCAAACTCAGATGAACATTCCCAGCACAAGGGTTGGGGGGATGGGAGTGAGAAAGCGAGCGAAAGATGTGAAGAGATCTAATAAAATCCACTAAAAATGGCACACCATATAACATTTAAATAAGCAAATAAGAAATTGTGATAGTGAAGGGGTGATACGAGGATAAAGATCGACGCTGAGACATTATTTTAAATTTACTTCGTAAGTCAATAGGTTTTCGAGACTACCATTAAAAAAAAAAATATATATATAGATATAGATACCGTAATAAAAAAGCAACAAAAGCATTAATCACAGTGTCATCATCGTAGATAGGCAAACCAACCCAGAGAAGCAGGCCTTCTTAATTTCTTGTGAATATTTGCTAAAGCAATCATAAGAATGAAAGTAGTTGAGCAATGGCAAAAAAGTGGTAAAAGAATGTGCAATGAGTTAAATTAAAGGCAAAGACCTATATTCGCTCATAGCCTGGACGATCTGACCCCTGCATTGATGCACCACGCCCAAGTTTACTCGAGCATCTGCCCATTCCGGGTCTAGGCTAATTGCTTTGGTGAGATCAGCTTCTGCTAAATCCGGCCTACCCAACTGGAGGCTAATTAGGCCTCGGGCCTCCTGAATCCGGGCCAACCAATGACGGGGTTGCCATTGCCTGGTAGGATCGCCCAAACGGATTTCTGGACGTCTCAAAGTAGACGTCCAAGTAGTGGGACCTTTTATCGATAACTGGTTGGCGTAAGTAGCAATTTGGAAGTTTATATCTAGAAGCCGACTAAGCAGGTACCAGGCGAGCGTAGGCTGTTCGGAGACCTTGGGACAGGGGAATTAAAAATATATAAACGGGGAAAAATTCACATGGTTTAAATAAAATATGGTAGATTAGTGAATACTAAGGTAATGGTATCCATATCTGGATTCGAACCCGTGGAGTGTGTATATATATGACGTATTGGTAGTCTCGAAAATTAAAATAACTTTGAAGAGGAAATAATTAATGTAGTATAGTGTTGTAGCAATGGTATGGGAAAGGCCTGTCCTTCCTTGAAATTCATTATTGCCCTGTGATACAAGCGCACTCATGGAAGTATAAAGTATTGGTTAACGTATGGAGACTATATGCTGCACTGTCTATGATTGAATCCTGCGTTAAGTGTTAATGAAGCCTAGACGAGATCAAAAATGCAGTACAGGCTAGATCAGAAAAGCTTATGTGAAGCAAGGCATTATAAAATTAAATGGAAACGTTAGGCCTACTCATATCATTTTGGGAAAGTTCAACTTCCAGTTCTTGTCGACAAAATACATAACATATATAAAGACAGATAATTTCTGAATTTCATGCAGATTTTGTTCTCTGATGGAACAGTAAACTGATGATGTTGGAGAGTTGAATAGCTGTGGTTCTAGTTTTAGGCAAAAAGACCATCATATGAGCTAAATTGGCCTAAACTA